GCTGATCTTGTAAGAGTTTGTTACCTTAAAAACTTGGTTTATGTTTGGTTTAATTTTGTTTTTCATAAGGTAAAAGCCCCACTCACTTAAATTAAGGGCATGTTTGGTACAGCGGTTAAAATTCAGCGGATAACAGGTAGCGGATAGCGGATAACGGTAGCGGGTAATGGGTGGTGGTTAACGGATAGCGGATGGCGAATAACGGAAAGAGGGTAGCGGATGGTAAATAGCAGATTCGATAAATATACAATGGTTAGCAGTTGTTATTTAACATTAAATAACTAATAAGGACATATTTAAAAACAAATAAATATATTTTTTAAAATATTTTTTATTTTTTATTATTAAAATTATTAATTTTATAAAAATAAAAAATAATAATTTAATTTTATTAATTATTTAATTAAAATCAGTTATATTACATTAATCATACCCCTCATAGATATTAAATAATAACAACATGATATTATATTAAGTAAGTAGATGAATCAAAATTTTAATACTAAATACAGCCATTATAAATTATGGATGGGTCCCAAAGTCCATGGGTCGTTGGCTGTCTCCTCCTTTCTCTTCTTTTCTCTTCTCACGGTTTTACCGAGCTGTGCTTTGATGGCAGAAATTAATCAAACTTAAATCAATCGTAAATTCAAAGGTATCCTTGGATTAAACAACACATTAATCATTAAAACTATCAACTTCCCCCCACCAAATCAACAACCCCAACTGAACGGAGAAACAATTCAACTGCCGATTGTATTTGTAAAGCTTTCTTCGTCTCTCTCTGGTTGGAGAGGGAGCTGTGGAGGGAAGATGAAGCCATCTATGCTGCAGCAGAGCTACAGCAACCGCCGGACCAACAGCTCCAGATCGTTGGGGCCGTTGGATTCGTCCTCTGACGGCGCCGTCAAATCTCCAGCCGCAATTTTCTGGTTGTTTTCGCATGGACTCTGCTGCTTGATCAGCTTGGTCCTCGGGTTCCGGTTTTCTCGGTTGGTGTTTTTCTTTCTGTTTTCCACATCCACCAGAAGTGGTATGTATGCGCCGCCGTTTCGGTCATCCGTCGAGCTCATCAGAACCGGAGATGTTCACTCCGTGCTTGCTTCCGATCCGGGGAAGAACTTCGAGTTGTCTGCGGTAAATAGAACGTTGACGAACTCGAGAGTGGTGGTTGGGCGGCACGGGATCCGGATCAGGCCGTGGCCGCACCCGAACCCGGGGGAGGTCATGAAAGCTCACCAGATCATCGAGAGGGTGCAGAGAGAGCAGAGGCTTCAATTCGGAGTGAAGGACCCCAGGACTGTTATTGTGGTGACGCCGACTTATGTCCGGACTTTCCAGGCGCTGCATTTGACTGGTGTAATGCACTCATTAATGGTGGTGCCGTACGATGTGGTGTGGATCGTGGTAGAGGCTGGAGGTGCCAGCAATGAGACGGCGGCGCTGATTAGGAAGTCTGGTTTGAAGACCATCCATGTGGGATTCAATCCGCGGATGCCGAATTCGTGGGAGGAACGGCATAAGCTGGAGTCCAAAATGCGGCTTCATGCCTTAAGGTGAAGTATTTTTCATTTAATTAGTTAAAATTTTCTGCTTTATTTTGTGAATAATATAGAAGGCTTAAAATCATTGTATTAGTGGGGTTATGGATAATTGGTAGAATTTGAATTGATCCAGTTGTTTTATAATTGGGGCAGAATTGTGAGGGAAAAGAAGCTGGATGGGATTGTAATGTTTGCAGATGACAGCAATATGCATAGTATGGAGCTTTTTGATGAGATACAAAATGTGAAATGGTTTGGTGCTGTTTCAGTTGGAATACTTGTACAGTCGGATGGTGCGGATGAGACTGATCAGAAACAGGAAGAAGAGGGGAATCGGAGAATGCCGGTTCAAGGTCCAGCTTGTAATTCATCCAACATGTTGGCGGGCTGGCATACTTTTAATCCACTGCCTTATTTAGGTAGGACTGCTGTTTCTATTGATGACAAAGGAACTGTTCTGCCTAGAAGGCTCGAATGGTCTGGTTTTGTCTTGAATTCCAGGTTACTCTGGAAGGATGCTGAAGATAAACCAGGTTGGGTTAATGACTTAGATTCGTTAGATGGAGATGTTGAGACTCCACTGTCTCTGCTAAAAGATCCTTCTGTGGTGGAACCACTTGGAAGTTGTGGACGACAAGTTCTGCTTTGGTGGCTCCGTGTTGAAGCTCGAGCTGATAGCAAATTCCCTCCTGGGTGAGTTTCCCATCATTTTCTATCTCTCTCTTTTTTTCTTTAGTATTTTGCTTTCAAATGATTTTGATGACCGGCAATGATTGATACTCACGTTTATTCATGTCAGTTGTCTTTTGACATGAACTTTTTTATGATTATGGTGCAGAAATTTGGATCAAAGTAGCTTTTATAAAATTAATCTGACTATCCATTACCTAGATTGGTCTTGTGTTGTCCTGGTCCTCATTGAACAAGAACTGAGTCCATGGGGTCCTTTTTCCTTTATGCTTTGGCTATGAACTCCATGTTTAATGTCTAAGAGTTTACATTGATGGTTGATTTTATAATTTTTCTTCCATATTTTATTGAATTGTCATAACAAACAGTTGTTAGGGTGTTGCTAACGGACTGATGACAGCTCAACTCTTCTTGGCATATTTGGGCATGTTTTTTACTTCTCTCTTAGATAAATTGCATGGTAGTTGTTGGATAGGTTTATTAATGATAATTTATTCTCTAGGAGTTAGGTATCTTATGTAGGACTGTTGTTTGGTTGCTAGGCCTTTGGTAGAATGTGTTTTGTACCTTTAATCATATGTTGAATACCCCTTCTAGTAGCAGATCATCATAACATCAGGATGTATAGATTTGATGCATTAGCAAAATCGAAGTTCTGAACACATCTGAACCTGTTATTGATGGTTACTCCTTTTTCCTTGAAAATAAGTAGAGTATGCACTTTGCTGTTTTCTTTCTAGATTTATAATTGCAATGGTTGATGCATGCATGTCTTGCCTTCTGCATATATGTCTTGTTGGCTGATGGTTTTGTTAAGGAGTTTCGTTATGATCGTGAGTAGTTTCATGTCCTAGGCTTGTTGCCTGCTTGTCCAATTTAAAGTTAGGTCTAACGATTCACATTCATATCTTGTGTCTGTCATTTAGGAAATTTCTGTCAAAATCCCCTTCCTAAATTCTAATATTTCATTGCTGTCTTTTTTCTACTTGATTGAATCAACTTCTCTGAGGTAAATGGTTTAATGAATAAAATTTTCTTTTGCTTTTTAAAGGAAGCAATCGTTTTGGCCTAATTACCCAACTGCTTGAATATTTCAATGCTTTCTTTTTGTTATCTCAGTGACTTAAGTTACATAGAAGACAGGCCATAACCAAGTTCATTATTTTATTTAGTTTGTGAGGATCAAAATATTATCTGGTGGAATTGAAAACCATTTCTTAAATTGTGGCTGGCAGTAATAAAATTGCCCTAAAATAACAACAACCTAGAGTATATCCATCACAGGTAAAGAAGATGAAGAACCTTTGGTATGAAGATGTCACTACTTATGTATTGCTATCCTTGCTCTGTTCCTTAAAACAGCCTCTATTGCTATCCTTTGAAAGTTGATAGTTTGTGCAATGTTCTTTACGACTCTATCTTATGTATTTCTTGTCAGTGAGCATGAAATTCATGATAAATAGCAATGCCATGTCATTTACATTTTGAGTTGTAATTGCTTTTGTATGTTCTTTGCAAGCTCTACCGTCTATTGCAGGTTTGTTCGGTCCTCATGCCATCTGCTGATTATTTTTTGTATTTCATGCAGATGGATCATTGACCCTCCTTTAGAAATCACTGTCCCATCGAAACGTACTCCATGGCCAGATACTCCACCTGAACTCCCATCAGATGAAAATGTGGTGATTAACCTCCCAGAACAGACAGTGAAGCAGATTACAAAGACTCGGCCCAGAAAACGCAATCCTCCAAAGAGAAAGCCCGAAACAAGAACAACAGAAACGCAGGTCACCTTTAGGCATACAGAACAGAACTAAATTATCAGCTGCAGATATATGCTGTATTGATTTGGGGCTGCCGGCCTCCAGCACCAAGAAATTTGATGAACCAGGAGGAAATTCAGATCTTATCATGAGGTGTTGGGTAAATATGGATAGACAATTCTTACAGACGACCGACCTGTCGATGGTATATGTCAGTTTGAGTTACACCCAAGTCTCAAAACTCTTTTTATTTCGTATTTTTAAAATTCTTTGCATGGTTTTATTGGGGTGATTATATTCTATTGTCATTGGAATGCCAGTTAAAGATATGCATCTCTTGGATTACAGGAATCATGTATCAGACATGCTTCAAATTTATACATAATTGATTATTTCAAACATGGATCTACACTACCTTTTTCTTCTTTTCATGAGATTGGGAATCTTGCTGCAGACAACCTGTGTGTTATTGGACGTTCTTAAATCACCCAACAAAAATTTTCAATACATTTTGAATTTCAGAATTCTTTGCAAATAGTTTTAGAAGCTGCGACTGCGAAGAGAACGTGACGTTTCACATATCATCACTACTCCATCCGTCCCATAGTAATTGTCCATTTTAACCAAAATTTTGGTCTCAAATTAATTATCCTTTTTGCATTTTTAAGGTTCATTTTTACATTTTCAAGGGCCCTTAATTTTTTTCTTCCTATTTTATTTCTTTATGGAAGAGATAGTCTAGGTTAGGTTGCAAATTTGGAGGATTAGAGAAATTTCCATTTACAAAGGCCGTATTTGAAAATTTGAACCTTGAGACCACCACTGCCAAGTCTGGGACGTCCATTGCAAGCGCAGCTAGCAGTGCAAGTGGAGGTTCCAACTTTGAATAACTGGATAAGATAATATAAAATAAATTGTTATACCGTTTATTTATAAAATTATTTAAATATATTTTTTAAAATATTATAAAAATAAATATTAAGACATTTAAATAATTTTACAGAATATATTGTATATAATGTGTCATGTAAAATAACATTTTCATTTAATATTAATTAATTATTTAAATAATACATTAAATTATATAAAAATATAAAATAAAAAAATTGTAACTAAATTATTTTTCAAAAAACCCAATTGTCCTATGTGGCGATATCTCATTGGCTGTCACGGGTGCGCTTCTGTCCACTTAAGTCAGACACCCGATTCCCAAGGACCGCCTTGAGATCCTTGAGAGTTGAGACCCACCACCACCACCCACGCCTCTCCTTCCCTTCTCCTCCTATTTTTCGTTACTTAATTTGGTCCTCCACTTGCATTATTTAACCAACTCCATCCTCTTTTATTACCTCCACATTTCTCCCCTTCCCTCTTCACCCTTTCTCTACACCTTGCTCTCGAAGAAACACCACTCACTAACCATGGCGCCGGTTACATTATCCATTCTCCTCTTCCTCTTCTTCGCCTTGTCGTCCGCCGCGACTTTGAGGACCGACGATGAGGTGAGGAGAATGTACACTTCCTGGCATGCAAAACACGGGAAGACGTACAATGGAATCGGAGAGGAAGAGAGGAGGTTTCAGATCTTCAAGGATAATTTGAGGTTTGTTGACGAGCATAACTCTCAGAATCGGACGTATAGGCTTGGACTGAACAGGTTTGCTGATTTGACTAACGAAGAGTACCGTGCAATGTATCTCGGCACCAGGACCGACGCTAAGCGTCGAGTCATGAAATCGAAGATCGCCAGCCAGCGCTACGCTGTCCATGCCAACGACGAGTTGCCGGAGTCTGTTGATTGGAGGGAGAAAGGAGCTGTAAATCCGATCAAAGATCAAGGAAGTTGCGGTAAGTAATTTCTTTTTCTTTCTTTTTTCATATTTTAATAAAGAAATTTTATTTTTTTACCCAAAAAAAAAGAGAAGAAATTTTATTAAAATATTGAAGCGGAGTTGGATTGGCGGGAGAATGGTAGTTACTGATTGAATGGTAGTTAAGAATGTTTTTTTAATATTAATTATCATTAAAAAATAAAATTTAAATATTTATTTAATGAACAATCTAATTAAAATAATGTCAATTTTTTTATTTTTTATATTAATTAATATAAAAATAATATATTAATTATACCATTAACTTATACTTTAGAGACATAACTTAGGTAAATTCATCAATAAATAGGGTGTGACCCTAATATTGAAAGGTATCGAGATTTTGTTTTGTAATCTGATACAATATTGATTACAAAATATATATTTTTTATAATTGAATGGTAGATTGTGATTTTTTTTTTTTCTTTTACACGCAATGAAGATGATTTTATGGGGTAAATAATTCAGAGAAATTCCTAATGAAGCAGGGCACCAGAGATTTTAACTGTTCAAATGCAAATGTAAATTCATATCTTAAATTTTCTATTTACTTTATTGGTTAATTGCACAGGAAGTTGCTGGGCATTCTCAACGGTGGCTACAGTGGAAGGCATAAATCAGATTGTCACCGGCGAGTTAATCTCTCTATCAGAACAAGAGTTGGTTGATTGTGACAGATCATACAATGCTGGATGCAATGGAGGCCTCATGGACTATGCTTTCCAGTTCATAATTAGAAATGGTGGCCTGGACACCGAGCAAGACTATCCCTACCTCGCCGTGGACAGCAAATGTGATCTAGACCGGGTCAGTTTCGTGCTGACAATTCTTGTGTGTAATCTGCAATTCAAGAAGTTGACTTTGTCTTGATTTCTGATATTTTTATGTTCTTGGATTGTTAACAGGTGAATGCTAAGGTTGTTACAATTGATGGGTACGAGGATGTCATGCCTTTTGATGAGGAAGCTTTGAAGAAGGCTGTGGCACATCAGCCTGTGAGCGTTGCCATAGAGGCCACTGGCAAGGCATTGCAGCTATACGAATCTGTAAGCTGACTTCACTCTTCATTCTTTATTCTTTCAATTTGTTGTTGTCCATGAATGATATAGGAGATCTAGAAACCTTAGAGAGTGTTGCCAATATCAAATCCATGTTTGCTTCTTGATGAATTGGTGATAAGGTAGATGTATTACGTAAAATTTTTAACCTTTTCGTTGATTTTGGATTATCTTAGGGAGTATTTACTGGGGAATGTGGGTCGGCTCTAGACCATGCTGTTGTGGCTGTTGGGTACGGCACAGAGAAAGGTGTGGACTACTGGCTTGTGAGGAACTCATGGGGAAAATTCTGGGGTGAGGAGGGATACATCAAGATACAGCGAAATGTGGTTGACACATACACAGGCAAGTGTGGCATTGCAATGGAGGCTTCTTATCCTGTTAAGAATGGACCCAATCCAACTAGATCCTACGAGGATTCTGCAACCACCGAGAAGTTGATCAGCAGTTCTTGAAGGTGTTTGATTCTTGAAACCGCTCCTTATTGCTGTTTGGGTTCCAAGAAAGAAAATTTGAAGTATTATTATTGTTCAGTTCAACATGAAAACGGCCCTGTTCTTGATCTATGTTAACCAGAGGACTGCAGGACCATTTATGTTATGTTTGGATAATTATTGTTGTACATAGATTGCCATTTATCAAAAATTTCACAGCAGCAACTGGAAAACTGATATTGTTATGTAATTCAATGTCGCTTCCTTTTTCAAACTTTATCTATCTGAATACTTTTTCTACATAAAGCAACTTTAACCATCACCTAGGAGAACAAGTTACTATTAAAATGGATCTTATGTGACTTGCCCTGTTTCCTTTAGCCCTTTCCAGCAAGTTGTTGAAATGCTTGTGGCTTTATATACAGTCATATGTTGTTTTCATATTGCTTAATGAAGTCTTACAATAATTGTTTGCCATCAAAAGAGTAATTCATCCACTCTAAATAAAAAGAATTAATCATATAAAATTTTACATCTCTTTTACAATGATGAAAGATCACAGTGATTCAATTTCAGTTTTCAAAAATGTAAAAGGTAACTAGATGAACCATTAATAAGTTGTTGACTGGTGCTGCCGGTCCAAAATAATTGAGAAAGTTAGCTGCATTCTAGAAACTAGATGAACCATTAACAAGGTGCTGACTGGTGCTGGTCCAAAGTAATTGAGAAGGGTAGCTGAATTTTTGTTTGAGTTCCAAAAAATAAAATAGTAAGCTGAAAATTTGGTTGGAGCTATTAATATTCTGTCCATATCCCTAGAAAATTGAAACCATACCATTCAGTGGCCCCTTTTTTCAATTTCAAGTCATTCACTGGCCCTCAATAATCGATTAAACATGCTCCTGGACCTGAAGGGCACTAGGATAAGGGTGCAGCTACCAGGTATAATATCTGGGTTCAAATGAATTGAATCCCATTCTGAATGTGTTAGAATAAATAAATAAAAACGTTTTCACAGCGCTGACATATTCTTTTATTATGCTAAGCTGTTTCATACTTCCATTATTTACTTTCTCTACCATTTTTTTTTTTTTTTTTGAGGCAGCCAATTACTGGAGAAAGGAAATGGAAAAGAAAGCGAGTAATACAAGCCCTACAGCTGCTATTCACTCTTGTTGGAGAGCAAGTGCCACTTGCTCTACCCACTGGTTGGCACTTTCTGAATCTATGTACATTATCTTTTACATATCATAAAATATTTGAAACAGAAACCCACATGGCCTGCCTAATTCCACAACATAAAGGTTTCAATTGCCATCAAAGAAAGGGCAAACAACATGCATTCATTCAAACTACCTGCTTCATAGGAAGAATGTGAGATTCAGAAGCTAAAAGAGCACGGCACATATAAGTACGGCTAAGATCCATTGCATTGACAACATGAGAGCAATGAAACCATTAGTACATTTTTCAAAACTGAGTTTAAAATAAACCAATTGTGCTGGTTAATTGATACTGTTGTCTGTATGCAAGGCATGCCTATCCTATATATTAATTCTTTAGCTAATATCTTAAACTAAAATTTTGATGGGGTATCTGATTGCTAACCCAGTAAATTGCCAGGGAAAGAATAAATATACTGCATGCCACTGTTGGTCTCAAAGACAACTTATACCAGCACATCCTTGCAGATCTTCAGCAGTCAAAAGAATACTGAATGGGGGATATTGGAAAAGGAATGGCCAGACCGTCTCTTAGATACAACTTAGTAAAGCAGCATGGATCCTACAACCTGAGTAATTCAATCCTTAGGAAGGCTCGTGCTTTCAGCTGAAGCTGCCTTCTTGCCATCATACCGCTATTGAAAGAAAGAAAATTGGAGTTCAATTAACAAACACAGCTTAAAAAAGAAGAAATAAATATGTAACTAACACAATCTAGCATACACCAGTTATGAAGAAAATAAGGATACAACATGTCATGACAACATATTTGAAGGTAAGTCAGTTTAAGGAATACCTGTTTCCCCAATGAGAAAGGGACATATTTGTATTTGATCATGTGCAGTATCTGCCTCCTCATGGTGAGAATAAAAAGCATAAGCCAGTAGAAAAGGAGTATGGGCCAAAATACAGGCACATCAAATATGCTGAAGAATGTCATAATGAAAGCAATGCAGAAAGCCTTCGTAATGGAGTACCTTGAAATATAAAGGGGCAAAATCAGAATGCAAAACAGTACATTCTTATGAATCCAATAAAACATGAAATCTCCACTTACCCCAGAGCTAAACTACCCCAAAAAGTAGAAATATGAGAAGTGGACATGCAAGGATATGAAATAAAGCTCACTGGATGGTAATAACTTAGTTAACTCCAATCAGCAACGGCACAAAATGGAAGAAAACATGATAACGAAAATTTGCAGCATATTAACAACCACCTTTGTTCTGCAGTATTAGAGCCTTATGGTAATATAGCCCCTACATAATTATATACTCCAAGCACTTTAGCAAATTTCTGGCATTTTCGATGGGAAGAAGAAAAGGTTCCCTCTTGACTGCATACAATATTTTCAAAAGAAAATTGGCATCTCTAATTTACCGCACCCAACCTGCATTTCTTTACAGGGCTCAAAAATAATCAGGTCTTTTGGCAATCTCATTAACTCTAAATTCACATAAAAATATCTTTTCTTTTTGGTCAGTTTGCTCAAAACAATCCAGGACACAAAATTTTTTTTTTAATCAGCCAAATACTAGAACTAATTATTACGTTGTAATATCCTTCATTTGATTTCAATCTAATCAAAGCAATAAAATTAAACATGAAATCTGAAATCAGCCAAAATTAGTGAAAATGGAATAGAAAGGGAACACACAACGCACCAGAACTTGAACTCCGGGAGACGGCGAACGAAGGGCCTGAACTCATCCGATCCACGAGTCGGGAGCGTCGGTCCATCCTGCATCTCGGGGTCAACCTGAGGGGAAAGGAATCCCATAAGAAGATTCAACATGTAGATGCCGAGGCCATAGGTGATGATGTAGAATCCCTGGACGAAGTAGACTCGCACAGCGTAGATGAATACCACCGCCAGGCAGGCGATCCAGCGGTGGAAGATGTGTGGGACCGTCTGGTCCAACATGTGCTGGTACCGCTGGGACAAAGCAAAGGTCCACCGAGATATGGCTGTGATCGGAGACGACGACGATAGATCGTCCCCGCCAAGGGCACCGCTGGCGGCTGTTGTCTCCATTGGTGGCCCCGGAAAAAAAAAAGTTCGGTGATTCGGCGGTTCTTTGTGTTTTTATTTTCTGGTCTTTCAAGGTGTATTTTCTCTCTCTATAAATAAATGATTTTTCTCTGTTCACGTAAGAATGCGGGCCGGGCTCTCTCTGTTTTAGGGTCGTGCTTTCACCGCTCGGTTCGCTTAAACCGATCCACTTTGGATTACCCAAAAAAAAACCTTATCCTTTTCAACTTTTTAACCCACCCTTTTTTTT